TTACCGATGTTCGTTAGAAAACGACATAATTTCAGCGAATTATGTGATATTTATTCTTGATATGCCAAAATTGTGTTCATGATGAATCTGTAAATACGTATAATATATATTCATAATAAATTTAATATTGCCTAATTATGCTGTGCTTTATTGACGTTTATTGTACGTGGCAAATTTTTGTAAACAATTCCAGAGCATACACGTAAACGTGCTAATTCGGCTTTTCGAAAGCCTGCAAACGTCCCTTGTTTCCCTAGTAAGCGCTTATAAATGCACTCGCAAGATATACATTCCCATGCATACTCTATAAACGCAATACGCGAACACTATATCCCTTGTCGTTTCTACTAACTTACTTGTAAATACTGTTAATATTCGTTTCGATACTTGATTTTATTACAAATGTGTTACGTATGTTTCACTTTTTTTTACTATAGTTAAGAACTACCCATAGTAAACAATAGATGCGTAACAAAAACATATGCTCCATTTTATCAAGAGCGTATTAAGAAGGTTCCTTCTTTATACGCGCTTGATTTTATATAACCTATATAAGTAAATTTTTTGTGACGTATATGCTAGCCCGACGAGGTTGTGCGTCTGATTGTCTGTCTATACAGGTACGGCCTGCTAACCCCGGCAAGACCGTATCTTGAAGCTACGTATATGCATGCAGCCACCTGCAGCATAACCTGTTACGTACCTCTATCGCATTAGACAGTTTCATCTACACATTAATGTACTGTTTATGAAATTTACGTGTTTCTGCAATCGTGTTACTATTCACAACAACCTCATCAGGTTGCTAGCTGCAGGGGACTGTACAAATAAAATGTTGGTTGCCGTTAGATGATATTCTAGCCTCCAGGCCAGCACCTGATATCCAGGGGGAAAATTTTTTAGGGAACGATCTATGAAAACTTAGAATTCGGGTTGTTTGCGATTATTTTAACAAACCATGCAGGAATAACAAAAATATGATCAGGACCTTGCATTAAACATTAATTATTATTTTTTAGATAATCCTAATTAAATTGCCTTCATTCGTACATAATGCTCACATTTATCATTATTGTGTGTTTAAATTAGTTGCCCGTAGTTAATTGCATTCAAACATGATCAACGAACGTGACCGCGACGTGAACCGAACGGATTAGACAATTAAGATCTATATAGACATATAATTATACCGTTCCAACTAAACGCGTGCACGCTCACACACGCATGTGCATGCCCGCACACATACACCTACGTGTGCAAGCAAGCGTGAATATACGCGCGTATACGTACACGAAAACGCATCCGGGCACATACATTTATTGTACACGCATTCGCAGACTACATGTGTACATATACTCGCCTAAGCGCGCGCGCGCGCGCGCACACACACACACACACACACACACACACACACACACACACACACACACACACACACACACACACACACGACACACACACACGACACACGACACGACACGACCGACACGACCGACACGACCACCACCGACCGAACCGACCACCGACCACCGACCACCGACCGACCGACACACCG